GATTAAAAAAAAAAACAGTAACAAACACTAATACTAATTAAGCTAAAAATCTCAGTATAATATTAATTGTAACGGTAATATCTAAAAACGTGACAAAATAAAAACGTGACGAAACAAAATATATAGAAGGCTTTTGTAGTGTATTTTTTTAGCCATACCGAGAAAGTTATCCAAAAATATGGCGATGATATTTTGCAACACTCTCTACTCTTCTTCTTCCTCCTCTCCATCTCTCTCGCCGTTAACTTCTTCAACTCGAACAAAACCGTCGCGGCTCTCAAAGAAACTCAAAGCTCGAGCTCAATTCCAGTCAATGGAAGATCACAACGATCTTCTCCGGCGGAAGTTCATGGAGTTCCGTCATGTCGACGGTGGAAGATTGCCTCCAGTCTCAGCTCCTCCCCTGCACCCTCCCGCTGGATGTACGGAGCTTCTCTTCATATCAGATCCTGCGAGAAATCATCTCCGGTACTACCAAATGTCTCTGTTTTTGACGGTATGAGATTTCGAAATCAAGGAAATTGCATATCTCGAATCGATTATTGGAGAACTGATAATGTTGAGATTTAATGTGGTTGATATTAAATTGGATTCTAGTGATGATTTCTTGAAAATTTTCTTTTTTCAGATTGATTTTGTTATAGGAAGTTGGATACATTGCAAGATTCCAACAGGTGTATCACTCAACATAACAAGCATCTCTGGATTCTTAAGCTCTTCAACAAAAGCTCCAAACTTTGTGTTCGAACTCATACAGAGCAGTCCTAAGTCGATCGTTCTCATCCTCGACCTCCTGCATCGCAAAGACCTCGTTCTTCACCCGGATTATCTCAATGTATACTACCAAGACACTTCTCTTGATACTCATCGACAATCACTCCTCAAGCTTCCCGAAATCAAACCCTATGTTTCACCTTCTCTCTTTGTCCGCGCTGCAGTCTCTCCTACAACTTCGACTCTTAAAATCGATGTGGAGGAAGAGGAAAAGTTGGATGAGATCTTGAGAGATCATGTGAGTCCAGGGTTTGGTTAGATCGATGCGTGAAGGAAAAAGACGAGAAAATAGTTATAGGTGAAGAAGAGAAAATGGAGTTGGAGAGAAGAGATAAAAGCTTTAGAAAGAAGAGCATAGAAGAAGAATTGAATGTACAGTTTCCAAGAATGCTTGGAGAAAAAGTTTCCTGCCGTGTTTTACACGCAATCAAAGAAGCTTACGGTGTTCTCTAATAAAGATCAAGAACTAAGTAGTACAATTCAGCAAAAAGACTGTGTGACACGTTCGGTGACGACGAAAAAACAAATTAAACTATGAAAAGTTTTTATTGAATGTATTAACTATAAAGAATGTATTTATGTCATCAATAAATAAATAAATGTGTTTGAAAAAAATAAATATGTATGAAATTTTTTAAATTATTTATTATTTTTGAAATGTTAAATTCACACACACATATTTCAAATCCAAAAATTAGATAGATCACGATACTAATACAAATACACAAAATTAAAATAAAGAAAAAAAACTTCTCTCTAGAAAAGTAGATCTAAAATTGGTTGCCATCGTCCTGTCTTGGTGGCTTTACGCAACCTTTTAATTTAATTTGTTAGTGTTCTTTTGTTGGTGTTGTTTGTGTAGTATTTGTAGTCTAGCGCTGGTTAGGAGTTTGAATTGTTTTCACTAATCTTCGGTTAGTGTGTGCGTAGTTGAATAATTTTTGATTAGTTTCCTTTTATTTTGATGAATCTTTATAAGTCTACTACTGCTTTTTAGTCAGTTTAGTTGAATAATAAATAAGCTTTCGTTTGTTTACATATAGTCTTTTTTAGTCTGTTATTCTAAGGTGTTTCCTTTTGCCTCCGCAGCGATAGAAAGAAACACACCATTGATGAGTTCAATGATAGTTTTGTTTCTATATATTTATATATGGACTAAGCTAGTAATTAATTATCAGTACTATTTTCTCATTTCTTTAGCCGTTTTATTTATTTTTAAAAATAATTAAGAAAATTTCAATATCGTCAGTGTTTGATACTATTAATAACGGTAACAAACATACAAAAACAACGGTAAGAAGCAAAATATGGCACTTGTCACTACATCGTTGGTACGTTTTAAACTAAACTCCGTAACATTTTCATGATATAGCCCTTAAACTCCACAACGGTTAAATTAGGAAAGAAAATCAGAAAATGGAAATTCACAAATTATAGCCGTTATATGCATCTCTATAAATACATACCATAATCACTTCTCTCTTGCTCAATCAAATACGCTTTCTTCTTCTTTTAATAAAAATATGAGTAGTTATGTGTTTTAGCATTTATCTACAGATTATTGGTTTTCGTTTGATCTCCTAGCTTTCCATGATTCCTAGTCTCTATTTCTTCCAGGTTCGCTTTCTTCTTTACTCAATTTGTTGTTTTGCCTTCTAATTAGGTTTTTTTCTTCTTCTTCAAATTCCTTGTTCTACAAATAGATTACATAGTAGTGGCAAGAAATAAGATTTCATAGTAATCGTTGTTGTGTTTGGTTTTGCAACGAAGAAAACATACTGATTTCAGAATTTCTTGGTTTTATCTGTCGGAATTAGTTTTTTTGTGTTCTTCGTTGTGTTAAGTTGTTAAAAACTAAGAAATTTTGTTGTGGTTTGCTTCTTGTACACATGTTAAAATCTAGGATTTTTTGGTTTTATCTTGAAAGTTGTTGGAATTAGCTTTTGTGTTCTTCGTTTTGTTTAGTATCTTGTAAATTCCGTGTTGAAAGCAAAGTCAATTTCTTAGTGTTAAGGACAAACCGGTATTACCAAAAAAAGATTAGCAAAATTTGTAGTCAAAAGTTTAGTCTTGGTCTTTTCTTAAGAGTAGTCCGTTTGATCATGTGATAGGCGTGATCATTAAGGCCCAATCTCAGCCTTTGGTCCAATTGAGACATATAGGAGCTTATTGCATAAAGACATCTCCATTTGAAGTCAAATTTGCTCCAACCCACTTCATCTTTATCTCT